AAAAATGTTTATAACTATAAGCACCTACATCAAAATGGTAGAAAAACCTCTAGCAAACAACCTATCAATACATCTTTAAAAATGAGAAAAGCAAGGGCAAGCCAGACTCATAATTGGTAGAAGAAAAGAAATAAAGATCAGAGCAGAAATACGTGAAACTGAAATGAAAAAATACCAAGGATCAATGAAGCTAAAACTTGGTTTTTTGAAAAGATAAACAAAATCAACAAACCTTTACCTAGGCTAAGAAAAAAAGAGAAAAGACTCAAACAAACATCAGAGATGAAAAAGGAGACATTAAAACAAACACCACAGAAAGTCAAAGGATCATTACAGGCTACTGAAAGCCACTATATGCCAATAAATTGAAAAGCAATGGACAAATTCCTAGACACATATAATCTACCAAGATTGAACCATGAAGAAATCAAAAACATGAACAGACCAATAACAGTAATGAAATTGAAACTATAATAAAAAGTCTCCCAGCAAAGAAGAGCTTGGGACCCAATGGCTTCACTGTTGAATTCTAACAAACATTTAAAAGAACTAACATTAATTCTACTCATATGATTTTAAAAAAATAGAGGAGGGAATATTTCCAAAATCATTTTATGAGTTTTACTCTAATACCAAAAACAGGCAAAGACACATCAAAGAAAAAAAACTACAGGCCAATGTCTTTGATGAACACTGATGCAAAAAGCCTCAACAAAAAAAACCAGCAAATGAAATTACGCAACTCATTGGAAAAGATCATTCATCATGACCAAATGGGATTAACCCCAGGAATATTTGGATAGTTCAACATATGTAAATCAATATTATACATCATATCAACAGAATGAAGGAAACATGAACAAAACCATAAGGTCATTTTAATTAATGCTGAAAAAGCATTTAACAAAATTCAGTATCTCTCATGACAAAACCCTCAAAAAATGTGTATAAAAGAAACACATCTCAACACAATAAAAGGGATATCTGACAGACCCACAGCTAGTTTCATACTGAATGGGAAAAAAATGAAAAGACTTTCGTCTAAGATCTGGACAAGGCAAGGATGCCCACTTTCACCACTGTTATTCGCCACAGTACTGGAAGTCTTCAATAGAGCAGTCAGACAAGAGAAAGCTATAAAGACATACTTCCTTTCCATCTGAATTGGAAAGGAAGAAGTCAAATTATCTTTGTTTGCATATAATATGATCTTATATTTGAAAAAAACTAAGTTTTCCACAAGAAAATTATTAGAACTGATAAATTTGAGAAAGTGCAAGATACAAAATCAACATACAAAAATCAATAGTGTTTATATATACCAACAGTGAACAATATGAAAAAGAAATTTTAAAAGTAATCTCATTTATAATAGCCACACATAAAATTAAATACCTAAGAATTAACTTGATCCAAAGAAATGAAAGATCTGCATAATGTAAACTATAAAACACTGATGAAAGACATTGAAGAGGACCCCAAAAATGAAAAAACATTCCATGATTATGGATTGGAAGAATCAATATTGTTATAATGTCCATACCACCCAAAGCAATCTACAGATTCAATGCAATCCCGGTCAAAATACTAATGATATTCTTCACAGAAATAGAAAAAAAATCCTAAAATTCACATGGGATAACAAAAGATCCCAAATAGCCAAAACTGTCCTAAGCAAAAAGAACAAAACTGGAGGAATCACTTTACCTGACTCACAATTATACTACAGAGCTACAGTAATCAAAATTGCATGGTACTAGCATAAAAACAGACATATAGACCAGTGGAACAGCATACAAAGACCAGAAACAAATCCACCTACCTAGAGTGAACTTATTTTTGACAAAGTTCCCAAGAACATACACTGGGGAAAAGACAATCTCTTCAATACATAGTGCTGGGAAAACTGTCTATTCATACGCAGAAGAATGAAACTAGACTGCTATCTCTTACCATACACAAAAATCAAATTGAAATGTATTAAAAACTTAAATCTAAGACCTAGAACTATGAAACTACTAGAGTAAAACACTGGGAAAAATCTCTAAGAGATTGGTCTGGGCAGAAATTTATTGAGCAATATTCCATAAGCACAGGCAACCAAAGCAAAAATGGACAAATGGGATCACATCAACTTAAAAAGCTTCTGCACAGCAAAGGATACAATTAACAAAGTGAAGAGACAACACACAGAATGGGAGAAAATATTTGCAAAATACCCATCTGACAACAGATTAATAACCAGAATACAGAAGGAGTTTAAACCGTTCTTCAGAAAAATATTAATAATCCAATCAAAAATGGCCAAAGATTTGAATAGACATTTCTCAAAAGAAGACATACAAATGGCAAAAAGTATATGAAATGGGGTTCGACATCATTGATCATCAGAGAAATGCAAATCAAAACTACAATGAGATCTCATCTCACCCCAGTCAAAATGGCTTTAATCCAAAAGACAGGCAATAACAAATACTGGCGAAGAGGTGAAGAAAAGGGAACCCTTTTTGTGGGAATGCAAATTAGTACAACCACTATGGAGAATAGTTTGGAGTCTCCTCAAAACAAAAAACTAAAAATTGAGCTACCATATGATCCAGGAATCCCACTGCTGGGTATATGCCAAAAAGAAAGGAAATCAGTACATTAAAGAGATCTGCACTCTCCATGTTTATTCCAGCATTATTCACAATAGCCAAGATTTGGAGGCAACCTAAGTATCCATCGACAGACAAATGGACAAAAAAATGTGGTATATATACACAATGGAGTACTATTCAGCTATAAAAAGGATAAGACCCTGTCATTTGCAACAGTATGGATGGAGCTACAGGTCATTATGTTAAGTGAAGTAAGCCATGCACAGAAAGACAAACTTCTCATGCTCTCACTTATTTGCAGGAGCTAAAAACGAAAACAACTGAAGTCATGAAGATAGAGAGTAGAATGATAGTTACTAGAGATAGTGGGAGAGGCATTATTAGCGGGTACAAAAATATAAATACAATGAAGAAGATCTAGTATTTGATAGCACAACAGATTGATCTATCAACAATAATTTATTGTACATTTAAAAACAACTAAAAGAGTACAACTGGATTGTTTGTAACATAAATAAATGATAAATGCTTGAGGTGATGTATATACCATTTACCCTGATGCTATTAATACTCATTGTATGCCTGTTTTGAAATATTTCATGTAGCCAGGCATGATGACTCAGTCTGTAATCCCAGCACTTAGGGGGGCAGAGGCAGGAGGACGGTTTGAACCCAGGAGTTCTAAACCTGCCTGGTCAACATAACAAGACCCTGTTCTCCACAAAAAGGAAAAAAAGATCAAAAAACTTTCAGGTATTCTGTAAATATATACACCTACCATGTACTCACAAAAATTTAAAAAATAAAAAACAGAAAATCTTATTGATCTTGGGTTAGGAAAAAACTTTTTAATACAACACAAAAAATATAAATTCTAAAAGAAAAAGCTGATGAATTGAACTTCATCAAAATTTAAAACTTTTGCTTTTCAAAATAACAGTTTGATAAACGAAAAGATAAGCCACAAACTTGGAGAAAATATTCATAATACTTATATCTGATAAGAAACTGTGTCCAGAATAAAAACAATTTATAGCTCAACAATAAGAAGATGAACAACCCAATTTTTAAATGAGCAAAGGATAAAATAAAGAGTTTACAGAAGATACAGAAATAAGTATCTGAAAAGATGCTCAACATAATTACTAATCAGGAAATCATGAGATACTAATACAAAATCCTTAGAATGGCTAAAATTAAATATTGACCATTGTCAAGGATATGGAGAGATTGGAACTTTTGTACTTCTCTGGTGGGAATGCAAATTGGTTCAGCTACTATGGAAAACAATTTGGCGGATTCTTATAAAGTTCAATATATTTTTACCATGCGACCCAACACTTTCACTCCGAGGTATTTACCCAAAAGAAATAAAAACACAGATCTACACAAAGACTTATATTCAAATGTTCATAGGAGATATAGTCATAATAACCCAAAACTGGAAACAACCCAAAGGTATTCATCAACTGATGAACGGATAGACAAATTGTAGTATATTCATAGAATGCAATACTACTCTGCAATAAAAAGGAACAAACTACTGATACAGGAATGAACTTAAAAAGCATTAGGCTAAGTGAAAGAAGCCAAACGCCAAATATTTCATTTCTATGAAATTCTAGAAATAGTAAAACTATAGGGATAGAAAGCAGATTGGTCATTACCACAGGCCATGCTGTAGAGTGTTGGTGGACACGTGGGAACTTTTTGGAATGATATAATTATTCTATATCTTGATTGTAGTGGCTGTTATATGGTTACATACATTTTTCAAAACTCACTGAATTGTCCACATCAAATAGGTGGATTTTACTGTATGTAAATTATACCTCAATAAAGCTGATTGAAAATCCTCTAGATAATAATAGTTTCTTTTTATTTTTTAAAATAGGGAATGAAAGAAATATTCTAATGTGAATATTTTGATGTGGATGGGTAATTGGCTTTATAAAGATGGGAGATGATGGGGTAAATACTAAGTAAAACTTTCCCTGGGTGGAGATGTGTCAAGAACAAGATTTCTTCCCCCAGAGACTAGTGCTCAAATTGATCTTACTTAATGCTAATATAAAGAAAGATGACTGTGTAGAAAGCAGAATTTATAGATGAGCTTCAAACTTCCTTCAATGGTGTATGTCAAGTGGATGAAAATGAATTGCTGGATGATTTCATACTGAGTACATAAAGATAGGTAATGCATTTTAGGAAAATCAATTTAAGCCTACATTAATACTATTATGAGGGCTCGAGTTATTTTCTTGGGATACTTTAAATTGTTTCCTGAAAATATTAATAACTATTGTAGACACGATATGGTGTTCCAGTTAAAAAAAGAATTTGTCGTCTTTTAGAGGTAAATACTGAAGTATTTATAAAGAAGTTATATGGTATCTGGGGTTTTTTTTTTAATCAACTAAAAATTTATTTAATTGGGCATGAAGTTACAATCACATTTGTCTTAAACCACAGTAAATAAGTATACAAATATTGTCAGGTTTCTTGCTGTGGTTACTGATGGTCAGTAGCAGGCTCACTTGAAGGCAGAGTCAACCCTGACAGGGACTCGAGAACAATCAAAATTGCTTTATAGAAGCATACAAATACTGTCAGCTTTCTTGCTGTGGTTTCAGATGTTCAGTAGCAGGCTTATCTAAAGGCAGAGTCAACCCTGATGGGGACTCAAGATCAGTAACACTATTTTGGAGGAGAACACAAATACTGCCAGCTTTCTTGCTGTGGTGCCAGATGTTCAGTGGCAGACTCACTTGAAGACAAAGTCAACCCTGATGGGGACTCAAGATCAGTCCCCATCAAGAGATCTTATGTTGGAGGATAATACAAATACTGTCAGCTTTCTTGCTGTGGTCCCGATGTTCAGTAGCAGGCTCACTTGAAGGCAGAGTCAACCCTGATGGGGACTCAAATCAGTCACAACTCTTTAGAGGGGAACACAAATACTGTCAGATTTCTTGCTGTGGTGCCAAATGTTCAGTGGCAGCCTCACTTGAAGGCTGAGTTAACCCTATTGGGGACTCGAAATCAGTCACAACCACTTTAGAGGAGAACACAAATACTGTCATCTTTCTTCCTGTGGTGTCGGATGTTCAGTAGCAGGCTCACTTGAAGGCGGAGTCAACCCTGATGGGGACTCAAGATCAGTCACAACTGCTTTGGAGGATAACACAAATAGTGTCAGCTTTCTTGCTGTGGTGTCAGATGTTCAGTGGCAGGCTCAGTTGAAGGTGGAGTCAACCCTGATGGGGACAAGAGATCAGTCACAACTACTTTAGAGGAGAAAACAAATACTGTTAGTTTTCTTGCTGTGGTCCCAGATGTTCAGTAGCAGGCTCATTGAAGACTGAGTCAACCCTGATAGGGACTACAGATCAGTCTCAACTACTTTGGAGCAGAACACAAATATGGTCAGCTTTTTTGTTGTGGTGCCAGATGTTCAGTAGCAGACTCAGTTGAAGGTGGAATCAACCCTGATAGGGACTTGAGATCAGTCACAATTATGTTGGAGAAGAAAACAAATATTGTCAGCTTTCTTGTTGTGGTGCCGGATGTTCACTAGCAGGCTCAGTAGAAGCCAGAGTCAACAGTGACGGGTACTTGAGATCAGTCACAAATACTTCAGAGGAGAACACAAATAGTGTCAGCTTCCTTGCCATGGTGCCAGATGTTCAGCGGCAGGTTCACTTGAAGGTGGAGTCAGCCCTGACTGGGACTTGAGATCAATCACAACTACTTTAGAGGAGAACACAAATACTGTCAGCTCTCTTGCTGTAGTCCCAGATGTTCAATAGCAGGCTCATTGAAGACTGAGTCAAGCCTGATAGGGACTACAGATCAGTCTCAACTACTTTGGGGCAGAACACAAATATGGTCAGCTTTTTTGCTGTGGTGCCAGGTGTTCCGTAGCAGGCTCAGCTGAAGGCGGAATCAGCCCTGATAGGGACTTGAGATCAGTCAAAATTATGTTGGAGAAGAACACAAATACTGTCAGCTTCCTTGCCATGGTGCCAAATGTTCAGCAGTAGGCTCACTTGAAGACAGAGGCAGCCTGATGGGGACTTGATATTAGTCCCAACTATTTCATAGGAGAACCCAAATATTGTCAGCTTTCTTGCTGTGGTGCCAGATGTTCAGTGGCAGGTTCAATCAAAGGCAGAGTCAACCCTGAAGGGGACTCAAGATCAGTCACAATTATTTCAAAGGAGAACACAAATACTGTCAGCTTTCTTGCTGTGCTGCTGGATGTTCAGTGGCAGGCTCATTTGAAGGCTGAGTCAACCTTGAAGGGGACTCAAGATCAGTCACAACTATATCAGAGGAGAACATAAATACTGTCAGCTTTCTTGCTGTGGTGCCAGATGTTCAGTGGCAGGCTCAATTGAAGGTGGAGTGAACCCTGATGGGGACTCAAGATCAGTCACAACTATTTTGGCGGAGAACACAAATACTGTCAACTTTCTTGCTGTGGTGCCAGATGTTCAGTGGCAGGCTCACTTGAAGATGGAGGCAGCCTGATGGGGACTTGATATTAGTCCCAACTATTTTGGAGGAGAACACAAATATTGTCAGCTTTCTTGCCGTGGTGCCAGATGTTCAGTGGCAGGCTCAATTGAAGGCAGAGTCAACCCTGAAGGGGACTCAAGATCAGTCACAATTATTTCAGAGAACACAAATACTGTCAGCTTTCTTGCTGTGCTGCTGGATGTTCAGTGGCAGGCTCATTTGAAGGCTGAGTCAACCCTGAAGGGGACTCAAGATCAGTCACAACTATTTTGCAGGAGAGTACAAATACTGTCAGCTTTCTTGATGTGGGGCCAGATGTTCAGTGGCATGCTCACCTGAAGGCTGAGTCAACCCTGAAGGGGACTCAAGATCAGGTCAGAACTATTTCAGAGGAGAACACAAATACTGTCACCTTTCTTGCTGTGGTGCCGGATGTTCGGTGACAGGCTCACTTGAAGACTGAGTCAACCCTGAAGGGGACTCAAGTTCAGTCACAACTACTTTGAAGTAGAACACAAATACTGTCAGCCTTCGTCCTGTTGTGCTGGATGTTCACTGGCAGGCTCACTTGAAGGCTGAGTCGACCCTCCTGGGGACTCATGATCAGTCACAACTATTTCATAGGAGAACACAAATACGGTTAGCTTTCTCCTGTGGTGCCGGATGTTCAGTGGCAGGCTCACTTGAAGGTCTGCCACTGAATATATGGCACCACAGCAATAAAGCCGACAGTATTTTTGTTCTCCTCCAAATTAGCTGTGCCTGATCTTGAGTCCCCTTCAGGGTTGACTCAGCATTCAAGTGAGCCTGCCAGTGAACATCCAGCACCACAGCAAGAAATCTGACAATATTTGTGTTCTCCTCCAAAGCAGTTGGGACTAATATCAAGTCCCCATCAGGCTGACTCCTTCTTCAAGTGAGCCTCCCACTGAACATCTGGTACCACAGCAATAAAGCTGACAGTATTTTTGTTCTCCTCCAAATTAGCTGTGACCAATCTTGAGTCCCCATGAGGGTTGACTCAGCCTTCAAGTGAGCCTGTGACTGAACATCCGGCACCACAGGAAGAAATCTGACAGTAGTTGTGCTCTCCTCCAAAACCCTGAAGAGGACTCAAGATCAGTCACAACTATATCGGAGGAGAACACAACTACTGTCACTTTTCTTCCTGTGGTGCCGGATGTTCAGTCACAGGCTCACTTGAAGGCTGAGTCAACCCTCATGGGGACTCAAGATTGGTCACAGCTAATTTGGAGGAGAACAAAAATACTGTCAGCTTTATTGCTGTGGTACCAGATGTTCAGTGGGAGGCTCACTTGAAGAAGGAGTCAGCCTGATGGGGACTTGATATTAGTCCCAACTGCTTTGGAGGAGAACACAAATATTGTCAGATTTCTTGCTGTGGTGCTGGATGTTCACTGGCAGGCTCACTTGAATGCTGAGTCAACCCTGAAGGGGACTCAAGATCAGGCACAGCTAATTTGGAGGAGAACAAAAATACTGTCGGCTTTATTGCTGTGGTGCTGGATGTTCACTGGCAGGCTCACTTGAAGGCTGAGTCAACCCTGATGGGGACTTGAGATCAGTCACAACTATTTCAGAGGAGAAGACAAATACTGTCAGCCTTATTGCTGTGGTGCCAAATGTTCAGTGGCAGGCTCGCTTGAAGACGGAGGCAGCCTGATGGGGATTTGATATTAGTCCCAACTACTTTGGAGGAGAACACAAATATTGTCAG